TATAAGGGTGGGTAATTCGAAATTTGAATTGGCTTTAACAGTTTTGACAGTTGGCGACATTCGATCAACAAACTATCAAATATGACAGTCAAGTGAAAACTGCTGTGAAACTGACAAGGCCATCCTGCGCTCACAAAATGAAAAAGCGGAATTTGCCTGGGGTCTCACTATGTTTTCCCATGTAATTTTCCAGACTAGACATGAATCTGGAGTTAAAATTAGGGGACGATGGTCAAATAAGCAAGTAGTTTAGACAGATATTTTGATATTTTTTGTGAATGTCCATCTCTAAGAGATCTCTAAAGAGGTGCACTGCCTCCAAAAATGCAGAAATATCAGTGTCTGAATTACTTTCTTATTTGTCCAGCGACCCCCCGTTCTGAAAAATACATGAAAAAAATATAGAGTGACCATTAGTTCGCACTTCTTTATTTTTTTAAGTAGACCTGTGTTTTTATGCGTTTCACTAAAATTTGTTCATCTATCCCCAATTTGACTTCTGATTCGTGTTTAGCGTGAAAAAGAACATGAGAAACACATAGTGGCACATACCACTTTTTATTTTGTGGACCTGTGATATCATTATGAGTGGCCCAACGGTACGTTTTCTGATTATGCAATTTTCGCGTACTTTTTCGATTGTTTGGGATTTCTTGAATGTACAACTTTTGTGTTTCAAGGTCTCATTCGTCTGTGGATGGTTAGCATAATATTTATCCTTCAGGCAGCGTGCTGGAGTAGTGGTAGACGCTATGAGTCTACTAACTGGTTGACTTGAGCTGCGCAGGTTCGAATTCCGTCCCAAGATAATTTTTCTGTTATGGATGTTACGATTATGCGTAGGTGGTAGACGGTCTCAGACTGTCGAGCGCGGACACTTATGCTCTTCTTGACCAAATACATTGATATTTGTATCTTGTAATTTTAAGAAATGACGATATTTTTTTCGAAATAGAGTAAGCATCTGATGCAGTCCTAATACAACAATAGGACATTTACGCAATGACTCCATATCTGTCATGAAAAAGAATAAATCATGTCCTTTTACAAGCTGCCCTTAGAGCGCAAATTTTCCGTACAACAAGGCACCAAGCTACAGTATTTTAAAAATAAATTTATTTAAGGAAAGTGTGCCACATTTTTTCTATTGTATCATCGCCAAATCATAGTTCCTCAATTGTAAATCTACTGTAGCAGTTCATATTAAGCAACAAGTTAGTCTACGGACGAAAGAACATGAATTACCTATAACACATTCACCATTCTCTTTACAGCTTTAGTCAGCCAATTGAATAACGGTGAATGTGCACGCATCTCTGATACAGCTGAACACTAGGTTTAAGGCCCCAGGTTGGACAAGGCCCAGGGCGGAACAAATTTCGGGACTTTGTTTATAAATGGTTTTCGAAGAGTTTCTAAAAACGTCTTTGCGTACGCAGTGTGTCCCAGATGCGCTTCTCTATAAAGGGATCTCGGCTCCTGTTATACCTTCAGCAGATGTTAAGTGGTAGTTTTAGAGGAAACTTAGTGCATTCGATGCCGGCTTCAGATTTACGATCGGACAGTTGGTTTTGGAAATATCAGCGAAAAACTGAAAATGCCTGAATTTACAAAATTAGATTTTAACATTACATTACAATTTTGTACAATGTTTGTTTGTTCAAGTGTAAAATAAATTTACAACGATTTTTCTGACTTGTTTTTTTTAACACACTCATAGTTGGGAATTTGCCACAAAACATTTGACTGGTTGAGAAGTCGATATTAACGCTAATATTCTATTGAAAATTCAAGGCGTTGATGTGTTTTTTATGCCGTACTCATTAATGTTATTTTCTGACAAATAAATCATGGCCTCATTAGAAAAAACTAATACGTAATATTACGTGAGATGATATTTCGGTGATACTCCAATCTTTTATACACTGACATCACTAGACTGGAAATTTTACACTCTTCAGAAATCATAAAATCCATTATGGCGGCCATAAGAAAAATGAAAGTTGAGGCGGGTTGCTGGAAAACAAAAGATGATTTAGACATGTCATACATGCTATCTTATTTTTCTTAAAAAATGTCGAAATAATGTCACATTTTATTAGCTGTCAAATTAACCGTTTTGGATTTACTGGCGAAAAACAAATTCCGCCATTTTCGGTTTTTCAAAAGCAATTGATCGATCGTAAATCTGAAGCCGGCTATGGAAAGCTCAAAGTTTCCTCTAAAACCTTACCCATTTAACCTTTGCGAATCTGCGACACACTCTATAGTGCTGGATTTACTGTTACTGGGCAGCATTATCCCAATGTGATGAAAAAATCTGGTCGCTTTCAAAATTCGATGACTTAACCTATAAGAAATGCATGAAGCAACGTGTTACATTGCTAGAAAAACGGAACAAATTTTTTTTTCGAAGAATGTTTTCTGTTCATTCCATTTTCTCATTAGGCAATATCCTCGCCCATGCGGCAAAATTTGGCATTGCGGATATGCTGACTGGGAAGGAATCAGAGACTTTTTCCCCAGCTTTCCTTGGAGAGATGTTTGTTTCCCCAACTGGATGCATCGGCTGTTTGTTCGTCAATAATTGAAGTTATCTTTATTGAGATGGAGGAATACATCCCCCATATAATGAAAGTGTCTAAACGAAGGTCTCACGGCTGGTTCAACTAATCGTGCGACACTTTCGTCCTCCTTTCAGCGACGTAAGAACGAATCCGTTACTTTCCCAGCTAATTGGAAATTAATTCATGTACAGTCTGTGCCAAAAGAAAGACTTAAGTGAACTAACAAGAAATGCCCTAACGCTCATTCTGCCTTCATTGGATGGCCGAGTTTTACCAGGGAGCCGTTCATTTCGGTTGGCCGGAGTCCAGATCATCGAGAACTCAATCTGGCACAAACAAATCTCGTTAATCGCAACAGCTGCTGGAAAAAAGCTAGGCTATTTTTTCAGGGATAAGAAGTACTTTTATCCACACAACTCTATACAAGGCTCAGATAAGCCATCGCCTTGAATGCTGCTCACAAGTTTGAGGTACTGCTCCAGCTACATTATCCATATTCGCTGTTCAGATGGGGGCTGACCGATTCCTCGGTGCCACTTCTCTGACGGACGATCTCCAGACACTTTCGCAGCGACGGCCCGTCGGCGATCTGGCTCTATTCTACTAACTATATTAACGGGCTTTGTTCCTCAGAGCTCACCTCCATGATGCCGCCGCGAGATGAGCCTGTCACATAGACCTGCTAAACTTCGGCCACCCGTCCTAACCGTGTCGAATTTCGTGCATCAGAACGACCACTCCTTTGTTCCTGGGGTGTCGAGATTGTGAAATAAGCTACATGAGAAGGCTTTTCCTAGTTTTACTGTCCTTTGCAGTTCAAAAATCGAATTATCAAGTCTCAAGCTCTAGCTTAACCTGACACCGTGTGGCACATGATTTGAATACAGACTCACATAGTACTAAAAATATCATACTTTTTCACGGAGGAGAAGGAAGAGGAGGAGGGAGGGAGGCAGGGTCAGGCTAGCCCATTTAGAGGTTTTCGGTACTTAATAGCTCGGTTTTCTGTCTTTGGTATATACGTGTTACTTAGAAAACTTTTTTATTATTTCCTGTCGTGACGTATTTCTAGAGATTTATCCCAACTAGGTACCTTATAATGTGGTTGTTGCAGAATATATTATCCAAGAAGACTGGCGGAAATGGTGTTGCAGAGAAACACCATTAAAAAAAGTTAATCTATAATAATCAATCTGATAACTGCACGGTACTGGCTGTGAGCCGGCCGGCACCGACAAGCAGTACCACTCGCGATTAGATATGGCAACATCGCATTCGGCGAACGTCTACCTCGAAAACAGGTGTAACGATTCGCGTGTTGCGGCTAGGTATGCCGCCGGTAACGCGGTGATAGTGGCAAGGTGGGGGAATGATACTGCGGTACTGGACAAGGTTGCCAGCTTGAAGAACTTCGATTAGGTTTATTGAAAGTAATGTCTTGAATAAACATGACATTAGAACAGCAAGTACACACTTTGGTTTTTACAAAAAATTACACATCACAGTTTTGACTTCTAAAAATTGTTGCTTGCGTAATACTGAACACTGCAAGCAGAAAGTGATTTTATATCCGTTTACATGGGGTTCCATACAATTACAATTCATCTTCTTAATAACACCTATAAACAAAAAAATTTAACAAGCTTCTATGCTTTGCCTGAAGATTTGTAAGTGAGCAAGCGTTAAAACGTGTGTAACATTTCATTGATAAAGACTGGTTGAATGAGTATATATCATTCCAGGCTATTATACAATAGATATCAAGAGGAATTATATCGGTAAGCGTTAAAAATCCCAACTCAAGAAGTGTAGGATTTTTTTCAAATGATTTGATCCTTGATTCGTGCTGGATACCATGCTATTATCTTCAACATTTATTTGTATCATGACTAGAACACTCTCGATTAAGCTAAATTTGAAACAAACGAAACAAACGATTTAAGTCGCTCCTCTCAATGGCGAGCAACGTTGCCCCAAAGACAAATACGCAAGTACACATGCCCACAGCCTTTTGGAGTTAGGGGTAAAGGTTTAAAAATAAAAGTGTTGACTGCAAAACATACCCAAGTAAATTAATGACAAGACTCGTATTATGTCAAAGCTATGTTGAAGTTTGTGATTTATTCTAATTAAAGCACAAGTGATGGTCGTAGTAAGCAATCAAGATACTCTTGCATCGTAGAGAGGAGGAAGGATACCATTTGGAAACCATTTCCATCATTTTCCTCCTCCTTTCAATAATCTTGTAAATAATTGTCGAGATAATTGGCATTCATAAATGTTATGTCAAGTCATCAACCAGTGAAAAAACAAACAGAAAAAAACAGCACCACGGAGACCTAAGATCTATATTGTGCCCGGCGCCCTTGGCGTAACTTAATAATGTTTTTATATAAAAGGGGATTCTTTTATTATAAATATTTTTATTTCAAGAAGTCAAATTATGTTTCCTACAAAATGGTTGATATGGCCAATATTTTTTAAAAATATATGTGAAATTGGAAAGCTTCCAGAAATGGGATACATTTCTGAGAAATGAATGGTCTATACAACTTTTTTTTTGGGTTCCATGGTATCCCAGTTTCTACACATTTCCTATTTTGCTTGATCCCAGAATATTTTCGGGTGTACTGCTTCAACACTCGGGAGCACTGTATAAAATTTTTGGTCAAACCTTTATTCGCTTCGCAGCCCTTAGCCATAATTTATTCCTCTATTTTCATGCTATTTTTTGACATAACTTCGGGTAAGTACCGTTACATTTTATTTGACTCCATTTTTCCTAGATCTTTAGTGGAGTACAATTCTGCTTCTACGGACTTTGACCAGACATGCAGAGGATCCTATCGTCAGTAGTTATTGGCAACATCGTACGGTGTAGACAGGGGTCGGGAAGCTGGTACGGCTTGGCACCGGTTCGCTTGCCGGCGAAGGACGTCGTACAACGGCTTCGTAGTCGCACCGCCGACATGGCATCGGCACAGATGATGATGGTTATAGCCATTGCCGGTGCCAGCCAGGATGTGATATGTATGCATAAGTAGTACCGGTACCGTACTGAAGAATGAATATTGAGATAATAGAGTTTCCGTTTCTTACGAGAGTCTAGCTCGTCTTGAGGATATGAAATTGAGCGAGTATTTCAATCCGTCATTTTCAAAACTAAGTAACTTACATTCTTATAAAATGCTTTTTTTATGGAAGGCATAATCCAGTAATTCCGACCCCTTCAAATAGTATTGTGGAATAATCGATCATTACAAAAACAACTTAAGTGACCTGTTGTTCGACGACTGGTACCTGATTGGGTATAATCCTTCATGTTTGACTGGCCGCTTAATTAATGTAACCACATAATATGCTTTTTTCAAGTACAATTCTGACTTCCATTTGACACTCGGTTTGATTTTTATTTCATTTTCACGTTCCTATACAGTGTGTTACAACAGTAGTCTGAACGGTCCTGTAACATGCTGAGATTGCGCGAAGCTCATCATTGCAATTTTAAGATGGCACTGCGCAAACCACATGACCTCCTGGGGTCGGCATACCCGCTCCCAAATGACGTCTATTTGATCAAAGCGAAAGTGAGCATCAGGTCATCTATCATTCTTAATGTACTAGACACGTCACCCTCGTCTATTTCCCAAAAAGACAGAAGTCCTCCGAAAATGCGAAAACCCACTCAGAACTTAGTCGTAACACAGCGGTTAATTGTTATGCAATCTTCGACTACAAAGGCTGCATGTACATTGTTTATTGATCTGAAATGCGAGAAATAGTACTTCGACATCTAAAGGGAACCATGTTGCTTGTATTGTGATTAAATAATATAAGATCGCCTTGAGATGGCGAAGTAAAGTATCTGCAACAAACCATAAGAAAAAACCTAGAAGTAAAAATCTTATGGACGATCCCATCATCCAATATTGACAGTATTTCACAAATCAGGCTCTGCCATAAACAAGTCTGAATGATAAAGGTACAGTAACACGAAAACTATAACCCGTTACATTTTCGGCCCAAATGTTGCTTTTATATGTCTTTATTCAAATTTCTTCTTCCTCCGCAATAAATGGTAACGTGAACAGTATTGGGATTTTAACCGTTATATCGTCAGATGCCAGTCAGTTAAGAAATTGGAAGGAATGTATGGAGATAGGTACTACGTTAGAGCGCGAATTATTTCCTAAGAAAATTTATAATAGCTATCTAGACCAGCTAGTATCTTCGCATATGATGGAAAAGAAATAGAATAAATAAGTACATTTTCAAAAACAAGCTTTTATTTAGCCGTTGATAAAGTAAACTTGAAATTCGAAAATATTTTTTCCGATTGGAAATATTTAAAGAATAATGAAGCACCTTCATCTCAAGTTCTCAATTGAAAGTTTGTTACACCGCGCATTATACAATTTTTTCGTATGGCTGTCAAACGCTTTTATTTGCAAACTTGAGCTGAAGTATCTTCGTTATTCTTAAATATTTCCAATAGAAAACCAATTTTTTTGTTTTAGTCCACCCTATGAACAATCTGTTTTTGAAAATGCATTTTTCCGTTTGATTTTATTTACTTTTTGGTATTCATGATGTCAATTCACAAGTTTGGTGATTCGTATAGATTTGAAAACTTCCCATCACGGATTTATCGAAAACCACTGATTAAAAAAATTATGCCGAGACACGTTAAAAGAATCGTCAAGGGAAACAACTTTTAACCAAAAACTACTTCACCCTCTTCCTCCTCTGCCCCCCAGGGTCATCCCCTTTCAAATTTTAAATGACAAGGTGTATCGAGTAATAGCTTGATTGAAAGGTCTTTAGATGTCCTTTATTTTGGACTATTTGTTTTTTTAAAGTCGGTCGATTCGTTTTCAAGGAAAAATCTTTATTTAACTTAATTTGTTCATGTAGACAACAAAAACATACGAAAATATCACTTTTTATTCCAATAAGTGTTCAAAATGTTGCCTGTATTTTCAAAAACATTCAAAAACAAGTAAAATCAGAATCAATAAATTAATGTTCACTATCCCAAGATTGTCACAAATGCAACTGACAGCAAATTGAATAATTTCTTTCCCTTAATAACAAATAACTAAACAGGTATAACAATAAATACAGTTCGCCCAGGATATCTGTATTGATGAAAAGAATGCTGAAAAATTTGGATTGTTATGTGGTTGTCTTATCTTCCGAATTGCTGTTTATGTTGGTAAGAATGACGTCATTATGTTTCCCACATCTAGCCCATTTTACGGTGCCCGCCATATTGGATTTGAGATGGCGCTACGGTGCTTGTTATGTTTCTCTCATACAATATTTTAATTTGATACCTATATCATAGGGGTGACTGTGAAAAAAGTAAATCGTGCGGGGGGCCGCCATATCGGCATATCATGTTTTTAGCACCAACCCTTTCATTTTATACACATATCATAAGGCTTATTATGGAAATAATGAATCGTCATTTTGTAGCATCTGCCATATTGGATTCAAAATGGCGGCAGTTAATTCACTTTGTATCGCCGAGCAAACCAAACGTGATGAAGGCTAACTGATTCAAAATTCAGTTCCAATATTTTTCCCACACATATAGTACATACCTATGTACTAACATACAAACAGATCAAGTTAAATAAAAGCTTGTAAAATATTGATTTGCATTTGTTGCATCATCCAATCAAAAAATAACCCATTTTAACGAATCTCATGTTGGAAAAAATTCCAAAAATTATTTTATTTTGCTTCAGTCGAAGTGTTCGGGTTTTTATGACATTCTCAACAAAAAGTCGTTTTAAAACTATTTTTTATGAAGTTGATACTTTTTGAGATATAAGCGATACAATGTCCAAAAGACTGCAAAATATGCCATCTTCGACCACGATAGTCAACATGAAGAAACGAAAACTTTAATGTTTCACTCACAAAATTCCTAAGCATTTCAAGAGGTGTTACTATAAGACCCTTTGTTTTTTAATTTTTTACCAAGCGCGCGCTCAGTATACAGTGAAACTCATTCACTATGTTGCGCGTCGCTTTCAATGTGTACGAGAAAGAGAGAGAGAACCGCATCTCGGTTCATTCTAATGAAAGGTTTCCACCTAGATAGATTCATGATAGTCCAGTGCTATTAGCGTTTGTTAGTAAGCAGTTGAACACCACACAAGTATTACGTATGATGTTGTCAAACAAATGACGCTTTGTTGCAGAATTTGGCGATCCTGAACTTTCAGTTCCACCTAACATTTGAGAATCGTTAAGACTGATCCAGACTCGATTCTAAACCGATTTGACAAAAAAACATTATTTCGGCGCAGAAAAAAAACTTGAACTTATTTCCACAATGCATCAGGAAAATGATGTAGCGTGATTTTCGTAGTCTTTCCTCTCCTTCAGAAAGGCTGGGATGTTTCTAGACTTCTACTGTTCCGTGTCAGCGTCAGCGCTCTTCTATCGTAAGGCTATGTTTTCTTCTTGAATTGTAGGAAATCTCAGGCTATATAACAGATGATATAAATCAAAAGTATAAACATAACCCCAAAATAGAGCGCTGACATGGAAAAGTAGAAAACTATGGAAATCAAGAGGGCCATAATGGCGTCCTACAGTTGTAGAAACGACTGACGATATGGCCCTTAGTGTACGTTTACATCGGAGGCGCTCCGCTTGCAGCTGTGCGCTTTACTTTACAGCCCAGGGTAAAGCTAGAAGAACGAGAACACAGCTTTAAATATTGAGACCGCGCGCACTGCGCTAAGCACTGAGCCTTACGTTATACTATGCAGAGCGGTGGAAAACGCGATGTGTTGGTTTTGAGTTACGTTTTGCCTCACTTTTTCAGAGAACTCCGAACGCTATCTGCATATATAATAAAAGAACAAATTATCACCGCCGTTTTTAATCGAGAGGCAATATGGAATCCGAAGCATTCGTTGCATAAAAATGTATACGCGTTATAAAATCTCGATAGAGGTGATAGAATTCTCCGAGCGATTTCCTACATATATATGTATTAATCTCATGCACCCACGATCGTTTCAAACGTTTCTCTCTATTCTCTTTCCACGCAATACTTTCGAGTAGTAATTTTTCTCAACTCGTAAAGGAGCCACTGTGAACCGCTTGGAAAATGCATCTATAAATATAAGTGTGTTTTAATAGCAGCCGAGGTCTAAAAAGCGAAGCACCTCCAATATGAATGAACCCGAACGCATAGGGGTTCGCTTGACATGAAGTGAGGCGAACAGCTCCAAGCGAAGCGCGTTCGATGTAAACGTGCACTTAGTGTCGCGCTCCGCGGTCTCATCCACTGTCTCATGCTTATAGGGCGGACTCTTCTCATTATAACATACGTATTGCGTGATGTTATAAGCTCGTCTCTTTCTCTCTCACTCTCTCCTCTACACATTGAAAGCGGCACCAAAAAACGTAATTGAATTTCACTATACACTCCGCGTGAGTGCGAGAGAGATGCAGTTGACGACTGCCCCTATTGATGCATCTTATCGAAAAAAAAATAACTTAAACATCCTCCCAGATAACCTATAATCCGCCACTGTTTCAATTGTTCATCGTATATTCATCTCGTTTTCTTTCACACCTGTTCTATTATCCGTAAAAATGCAAATTTGTCTAGCTTAACGGTTCAAACTTCTAACACAGATATTCGGAGTGAAGAAAATGCAAACACATCACATCCGTCGTCCACCAATCATAAGGTGCACTCAACCGGCTCAACAGTTTAGTAGCAAGATTCGGCTGGACGCCTGCTCTATCGACCAATACATTTTTATCTGACATTGGCGGAGGTAGTGCATGCTGCTACTCAGAGTGAACTATATTGTCTATAGCACTAACGGTGCTCAAAATAGGCTTTAGGAGAATTCTTTAAACAAATGTTTTTGAAGTTAATTTCAGAAATAACTCTAGTAGCAATTCGTAACCCTCAACTTTCCATTTAAAAGGTTTAGGTTTGCAGCTGTCTCTATAGGAGTATTTAATGTAGGAATAACATTTTGTC